ACGAAACCTAAATGTCCATTAAACGTTCATTATTTTTTAGAATAACCTGTTATTTTAAATTTACATAATTTCTCGTGTGATAACTAAAATCCGTAAATTTCAACTGTTCATATGCAAACGGTATTACGTGCAAGTAGAAAAAAAAACTCATACTATTTAAATTTATTTTCGTTGATAATGAAAACGGGCTACCTTGGGCGGGTATTAACTGCGCCGAAACTAGCCACTGTGCGGCTCTCACAGCTTTATCTTTATAGATAACACAACCGATGAAGATCTAGCTAGAATAGAATTACTTAATTAGCTTGGCACTCGTATCATGGCGCCCTCAATACTGTTAACAATGATTAGATTAGATTTTAATATCACTTTAATTTTTTCTTAAAGCAGTAATTTAAGATAACATACTAAAAAATTTAGTTAGAAACAAGGTTCGACTGAGAAGCGGCACGTAATTATAGGACTACTTAAAAAAACTGCAATTTTTCAAACTGTTGTCACACTCTAGACTCTAGATTACCTGCCACCCATCCATATACAACTTACATGGTGACATGGATAAAGGAATTGCCTAAAGTTATTTAGTTAGAACTTCTTTCGCCCCTGAAGTACAGTCCAACAAATCCATCTTCTTCGAAAAATTTTTAAATTTGATTTTGCAAAACTTGATTTATTTTATGACCCCTATAAGTTAAAAAATATAGATAATACCAATCACAGTGTAAGAAAAAAAACGTGACCCATGAGGGAATTAATTCCGCAACCTACGATTTGGATTTTTCTTGCGAAAATCTGGATGCTTAGGGGAAATAGTCAAGGTGAATTCATAAACCATAAGTGCAAAGTATGTTATTTTATAAAATTCAAATAGCATTTACCATGCAAAATATTGAGGTGACGTTATCAAATCGTTGGTGAAGATGATTAGGCGTGCCACCATCTACACGATATTTTTAGCATAGTTATAAAATCTGACAACAATCGAGGAAGTAGTTTCGGAGATTATTTGTTTAATAAAAATCGACACAGATAGAAACGAGAGATTTATATTTCATACTATGGTGGCCATGAAACGTCGAAAAAACATGGAAGTAGCCATTTGTCGGATGGACCCTACTGCAATACTTCCTTAGTTTATACTACGTAAGTTAAAAGTAAAATAAAAACTATGATAGCAAAAATAGCAATACTCATTTTACGAGCACAGTTTTAACTTTAAATAATATTTATGATCGTCTATACTTTATTAGAATTTATTTTAAACATAATACGGCCAAAAGACAGGATAAATTAAATGAAAACGTGTCCTATATGGGAGAAAAAATATGTGCTCAATTGGAAAGCCGAATCTTTGAATTAAAGAAGGGTGGGGGTACTAATTAAAAATATGAAAATAGAACAACTAAGTAAATTATTTTTTGTTTGACTTAAGAGAAGTAGAAAACGTGTTTAGAATTTAGAACCTCGACCGAAATATGTGCTGTCGGTATATTTAAAGAACAAATATTTCGCAGGTGGGTTCTAATGATTTTTTTTGTTCTTTGATATTATGTTCTATAGTGATCTAATGAGCGTTCTAAAAGACTTTTAGTCAGGGATGGCTTTGGAGGTTAAATGTATGGCGCAAAATCATCAGTTACTCTTTTAGAACTGTTAATTTTTGGCATGCATACGTTGGAGGTTATATTGTGGTCAGTTTGGATAGACACATTTCGTAATGCATAGCCATGCAACACTAGAAGACATTTGAATTGTTGTTATAAAATAACGTTTTGCAAAAATAAAGTATAAAAAGAGTTGTTTGGCAGCTTACAAATGTTACATAAATTCTGCCTGTTTTAAAAAAATATTGCCACTTCGTCGCTTGATGCGTAAGAAACTTATTATTAGATCATGCTTTTGTTATCTTTAATCTTTTCGATGATATTATGGCTAAAAAATAATTAATACATAAGGGAAGTTATATAGATTTGCGGCTTTTACATCATAGACGATTAAGCAAAAAGCTTTAAAGAATGGTCTGTCATATACCAAATCATACCACTTCAAATTTCACAATCTACTTGAGAAATTAATAGTTATCTGTAAGTATGAACAAATAAAGATAATAAATAAATAGAAAGTGATATAAAGAAAGGAATAGACTCATATTATATCATTTTCACGTTTGTACACAGTTACACATATTTATGTACATCTAAAATTTTCATTCTACAAATAAATAAGTAGGACACGTAATGAGTAACGTTTTCAGATATTATCAAACCAAGTAGGTATAGCCGTATTTGATTTAGTGTAAATACCCACGGCGTCAGTTGAATTATCAGTTATTAGCTTTGCTAATAATAGCATATTTTAGCGTAAAACTTTTGCTGTGTAAAAAGAATATTTGTGCAAGTAATCTTCCCACAATCACGAGCAGACGCTTCAACATACAAGATGGAATCGAACACGCTTAGGGTGGGCTGTGAACACGAGATCGAATTTCGACAAAATAGTCGTATCCGGTTTTCGATAAGTTCCATGCTCTTGTTATTTGTTATTTCCAGGAACTGATAAGCCTTCATAATATTGGGAGTGTACCTATTTCATATCAATTTTGACACTGCTCGTAGTAAATTCGATTATTCAAGGAAACACTTGACGATAATTTTTGTTACAACGTGCAATATATTTTAAGAACAGTACTAAAAACGATAATTACTCATCCACCCAACAATGAGACAACTATTTCTGTAAACTTATTAACGCGACATTTCGAGAACCCATGTTAGTGAACCATAAATTAACAAGTTTAAGTAAATTGGTTGAACTAGCACAAATACGGAAGGGTTTCGTGTGAAGCAGGGATACTCTACTACATCTCCTACGTCTGTTTTACTTGCGAAATGAGTTATCTTATCGCACCCACACGTGAAACGGTAATGAATGAAGAAATAAGTGAATCATTGTTTCTGTTTCATACTCATCTTTTAGAAACATACGCCCACATGTGGAAATTAAATATACAAACTCACATCGGACATGAATATCACCTATCAATCATGCATTCAGTGTGAGTTTATTCCTGTAATCTATAAAACCATCCGTGCTAGATTTGGATAGAGGCGGAAATCACGAGACTGTCACTGTATCCACTGGTACGAAGAAATTATATAATGTGTCGATTATTAATGAATCATGTGCTCTCAAATAAAGTGAGTCATGTTATTTACCATTCAACGTAAAAATGGTTTATCCGTTCTACTTTATGTCTTCGTGAAAAACGTCCTGTTGATTGCTAGCTCGCTCTATTTATTCGCTGGTTTAAATCGAGGACTGACCAACCCCATTTTCCACATAGGTTAGAGTTGAATAGTCACGAGAGATAAGAGTGATTACCACACGCTCAACATTCACATTGTCGTTACAGGAATTATGCATTATTTGGGCAATTATAAATGTGACGTAGGCTTTTCTGAGAGCTTTCAAAGCTCGTCGCTATGCTGCACCCTTTCACATGATTTCCACGTGATCACGAATTAACGTCTTCATTTTAGTTACTCCGTATAGGAGTTTTATTTTTATAAACATATTAGTATGTAAGTACCAACAGTCGTAAAAAAGATATTAAATTGGGTTATTTTTCACAATTGGCGAAGGATAGACCGTTTGATTTTAACCGCCAGGGTGTCAGCCTTGAGCATGGAAGAGTGTCAATGTTGAAGTCGTTGTAGCACCCACGAGATTTTGCAGACCATATATATAACCCATAATGTCAAGAGGAAGAAATGGGCTACACCCGCTCCTAAATTAGAAACTTGTGTTGTTCAAGCTTATATATCTCTTAACTTAAATGTAGTACGACCGTGTTGTTTTGAACCGAGATTATGTGAATGGAAATTCCGTAATTCCCACTAAAGTACTTTTAATACCAAATTGTTTGAAAGTGCTTATGTTAGAGATCACTACACGGGTACCATCCTGTGTGGGGGTATTACCTGCTGATATTTATAATTTTGGTTTTTTCCCTCAACGTTGTGGTTTTTCGTGATTTCAGAAACACTACACGGTGAATTACACGATTTGTTTTGAAGTTACACGGTACTATTTATTGGTACCACGATAGTCGTACCGTTTGCGTAATTTTCAACCAGCTCACAAAAGGTGACCTACAAAGTAAACTGTATCGTAAAACAGTTATTAGCAAACCGATAGTTGAAACAATGGTACAATTAACAATAAAAGTAACGTCGCCGTCGTAACGTATTTGATTTGTTTTATACCCCCCTTCATTTTCTCCAATAATTAATTCGATATTGATCTGGTCGTACATTTGACATTGAACTTGCGTTACAACACTGGTAGTCGTGGCAACGACTCAACAATTTTCTATATCACGAAAATGAATGGTAATAAAGATAACAAAATAAAAACGTTAGAACGTAATGTCACTAAGTCAAGGATCATTAAAATTAACCTTCCACATGTAGCACTTCCGTTTCTCATGACACGTCATATCTGGAGGAAGTCGTCGGAGGGGGACAAGTCGGAAACAGCCAAAATCTTGTACGAGGGCATTCAACATTTTCACAATTTTACGTGGTGTAATGGTTATTGTTCAACCTCGTTTGTTTCGACAGACAAGAAAATCGTTGTTCCATTGGTCGATTTCGTAGCAGTAGAACCAACCCGGATATAATTTTTATTTCTGGTTAAAATCAAAACTTTGCAACCGTGTTATTCACCTTCGATGTGGCAAACCGCTGTAGACTTCTGATCAAAAATAAACATGCATAGGTCGATTAATCAAGGGTTGTCTACCACGTCTTAAATAAAAATTTATTTCGAGATCGGCCGGTCGGATTTAGCTCAGAAATCATTTTCCAGGACAGCACATTGCGATGTGTTTCTAAATCGGATTTATTAAAGTAGATTTGGGTTAGCATATGGGTGACGCACGCAGACGATTGCAAATTTTCGCAGTTTCACCATGGCTGATGATTTCTTTTTTCTTGCAGATGCTCCGAACGACAGTTTGTACATGATCGGGGGAGTATGTGTTGCCATGTTTATGGTTGGAGTCATCATAGTCCTGCTGGCTGTCACGATTAGGTAAGTATTATTTCCAGAAAGTATTTTGAGGCCAGGTGGAATGCGTCCGACGAGGGGAAACTTTGGTAGCACTGAACTCTTTACGATCCAGCCCATTTTTTCACCCATTCTGACTTTCATCGGGCGCTTTTTTTATAGAACAATTTAATAGAATATCGTCGTCAGATGTTACTTCATGTGTTCGTTCACAAAAAACGAAAGTTGTGTTTACCGAAGGACTGACTAAAATTCATTAACCGGCGATTGTTAATTGAGTTTTTTTCTTAGATTTCTAGTTGGAATTGAAAGACATGGTCGCTGATTCGCTCATTTTCTCCTTTCGCGCTCCAGGAATGTCACGAGAAACGATTCCTTTAATTGAAGTAGGTAGTATGGAAATTTTGGCTTCTAGAAGTTGCGACAACAATTGATTGTACTTGAGATTACATCACCCTATTATCACAGTCATTCTTCTCTTGCCACATTATTCTTAACGATTTTATTTACCTACTTTTTGTCCTTTCGTGTTTGCAATTATATCATTCCAGCATGAACTGGTTTTGTATCCTTTACAGTGCAATCAACTACAATTGTTTCCATTGTTTCCAACTAGGATCAAATTCGAACTTAATCTCCTTTTAATCAAAAACAAAGTTTGATAGCATCTTTGCCATCGGTTTCATGTGTTTACAAATGCAGACTTTTTCTAGGAATTTACCTTGAATTGAATCAATCGACGGTGGCCTTATGCAAATGTAAATCACCTCCGGGTACTCGTATTCGCTAAACTTTGTATTTTTTGTATTGTAGAATTTGGCGAAATCATACGGTTTTCACGTGTCAATTGTACACACTTGTTAGATCAGCATCTGGACCGCTGATACTGATTATCAACTAAAACTTAAAAGTGAAAAGTTTTTGTTTTTAGCATTGTTTAAAAATTCGCATGCCGTTAACAACTTTAGAAATTGTATCCTCGAAAGTCACGACTGCATTATGTAAAACTTTCTCGGGTGTTTGATAAATGGACTGAGTGCACTAATTATTTTGATATTAGCGTCGAAATCGAAAATATTTGCACGTACAGTGTTTGTTATAGTCTGGTCAATTTATCAATGAATTTTGACCTGCTTAAAATAATATTGCTGGCTATTCATCAGGCTATGTATTGAAATCCACAGTGTAACATTCTGCAGGTGTGGTTAGCGTGCTCGTAGTGAATTTCCTACTGGTTAAAACTACTAATCGTCTTGACGGACTATTGTTTTAATTAATCCCAGCCTGCATTTGCCTTTGACAATTACTTAATGACGTAAGCTGACATCCGCTTAAAAATTAAATGAGTTCATCATTACTCAGTTCGCTTAGATGCTCACTCCGCAGTCACAAAACCGTCAGAATAAAAAAATTTTGAGTCAGTTCGAGTGTTTCTTATCAACAAAAACAAAATATTTGTTCAAATGAGTGGGTGAGTGAATGTTTTGCTTTCATAATTATAATTGAAGGGTACACGGGAATAACGATCAAAGTCGCATTTTTTATCAAATTGAGATACTACATTAGTATAAATTACAACCATTCAAAAAACGATCACAGTCAGCAGAAAGAAGGGCTTAACATATGGTATCCTTAGGAAGATAATACACATAATACACTTTTTCCAGAATTATATATTTATTTTTGTTTAAGTTAATTACTAAGTTTGTTTGTCCACTCTTTGTGTGTTATTATTAATTATTAAGTTTCACATTAAACAGTAATACTAAATTGTTGTGTTGTTTTGAATCTATTGGGTTTCAAACTTTAAAATTAATTTTTCTCGATATTTATAAATTGTGACTTTGATCGTTATTCCCGTGCACCCTTCAAGTGATAAAAATTTCCACTAGAGGCTGTGTATGCACAGATTTTCATTTGCACAAATTTATTTCTTTTCAACACAAAATGGTTATAAAAATTTTATGATTTACCCTCCACAGTGTTTATTTTCAAGTGAGTGGAAACTTCTATGACACGGCTTGGCAACTTGGGAGCGATATTTATAAAATATCGTAATAATCGCGGTGTAGTTAAATTCTCCAATATTCCACAGGTCGGGCAATGTTGGCTAATATCAATTTAATTGTTTGTAATTGTTTTGTTTTGTGCGTCAAGTACCGAAGAAACTTACATAACAGACATTTTTGTGTGGGTTCTAAATCATTCAGAATGCCGCAGTTCCATCACGGTTATACTTTGTTTCATTTAATGTAATAAATTTCCGAGCAAATGAAAAATATAACCATAACGTGGTGTAACGTTCATTGTTTTGAGCGATTTACTACTGTAGACATAATTTTTTCCACCTATTGTGTGTTCGGATCGTATATAGATAAGTTGTTGTCACCTTCTTGGATAAACCAGTGTGCATTTAGCCTCAATCTTTTCAACATCTAGTAAAGAGTGTGAAACGAACCTCCGGCCATCTACAGGAGTAGACGTCAGTGATGGTTTTCGCCGAAATTGATTTTATTCTCTTTTTTGACGAGTAAGTTTGAAAAAATTAAGTATGCTTTAATCCCATACATGATTGTTTCGTGAGATTTAAATCAAATTGATCACTGCCAATATTAATACGTGACTTAATAGATTTTCATGTGCGATAAGAGCTTCCGTCGAATTAATTCTTTTATTGACATTTTTTACAGTCGGGCTTTATGACTATACAGCTAATTTGAATTAGCTCAAGTGATATGCATATTCTAGATTTGTTAACTCATTACGTAGGTTTGTGCGATTACTAGTAGGGGAACGAGGGGCTTGTTGTAACAGTTTTTAGGAAAACGAATATAATTTGGTATCTATCAGCTGTTTGACCATTATAAAAGTATCTGTCGGTAATCTAACTATTCCCCTACTGGACTGAACCGGCAAAAGGTCAAAATTGTTCATATTCACTTCATACTAGGCATTTTCTTTAAAAAAGTGCACTGTTACAACTTGCCCCGTGTTTGGGGCTAGTTGTAACAGCGATGAGGCAGGTAGTAACAGTAAAGATAAAGCTGATACATATTTAGACTTTAATTTTCAAAAATCAACACAATACTTCATTATATGTAATATTTATCAGTAAAACTGATACAAACTTTTAGAAAAATAGTCAACATTAAAGATTTGAGTTTTGTTTTCCTTTTTCTTAATATATCTGGAAAGCGATATATGGGATAGGTCAAAATTTTCGCTCGCTTTTCGTATGCTAGGTACGAGATATGTAGAAGTGAATTTGGGATAAGTTGTAACATGTTACAACTTGCCCTTCAGATATTGTTACAACATGCCCCGTAGCACAATTTTCTACATATAATTACATTTCGCTTAGCGTCAAAATGTGTAAGGAATATCAAAGGCTGAGTAATTTTTGAACTACATGCAAAACTAAAAGTTTAAAATTAATTAATAACAGATACGAAAAACCAAATTTTACTAAAGCAATATTTTACATTACTTTGCCAAAACGAAATACATGCACACATCCACTCACTGCCCTGGCTGGAGGAACAGTGGTTGTGATGACATGATGTCCTATGGTGCAAGAATTAAATTCAGTAAAAAACCTGACGTTAAAGAGTTTCGATTCCGGGTAAAAATTTAGTGTTACAACTTACCCCTGTTACAACAAGCCCCTAGTTCCCCTACTATTGTTGTCAGGGTCTTCTCATAATTTCCAATTAGTATTAATAGAGTTGATGTTTTGAAACTTATCTAATCTGTGACACACCTCGCGTTAGACAGATAATAAGAATAAAACAAATCGAATTAGCAAACCTATCGTACAGGTTAAACTCAATGTAAATTGACGCCAAAACCGATGTTATTTTTGACGACATTTATGATTCCTAAGGTTACGAAGACACTAAATAACTAGAATACCAGTTGCATGTCAGGATTTTGATTTATGTAATGTGAAAAAATGACGTGTTTTATTATTTTTGGTCTACTACTATGAACTTCTTGTTTGGGTTGGCTACCCGTAAACATCGCGTTCATTGGTCAGGTTTTATTTTTTAAAACTGCGTAAACATGTCTTGCGAAAAACCATTTTGTTAATTTTCACTAGCTATAACGTTTGTTTGGAAACTGGAACATTATCGCACTTGCGTCAAAAGTGCCAGGAAAGGTAAACACAATCGATGCAAAAATAGCACGCTGATCCGAGCGATTTTGACTCCGTGCAGCTCAATTTATGCGTTTTGAGTGGCCAAACAAGACCTACACCAAAAATGTTATGAGTCAAGGTGAGGAAATCTTGAATGGTATTTGGATAGTGTCGAAATTTCTGGCTCTTTTCAAGAATGTCCGGTATCTCGGACATTTGGCATGGACGGCAGACGCCTAAAAAGCCCGTCGGGACAGTATGTTTTGTTGTACTATACGTTATATAAGTGGAGCTAGGCGCTAAATATACGCCTTTATTTCTGCACCTTGCAATGTCACATTGGTGGGTGGCAGATGTATCTCGCACATTCGCTCCATTTAGTGCAAATCTAAATCCAGACAATCGTTATTAAAAATTCTGTTTATTTTTAGTGGTTCGGTCGTATTTAAAAATCGGTTTGTAGCTGATTTATTTTAAACATTTCAAGTGCTGGCGATTTATGTCAATAATTATTCACTGGCTGATCCGAAAATCGGTTTGAAAATTATGCACCAGGTGAGGACCGACCTCAACGATCTTCTGAAAAAAACCTTTCAATGTGATTTTAAATTTAGAAAGTTTCCGTACAATCGCTTGTATTGAGAGCAGTAAAACTCGTTTCTGTCACCCTTGTGACTGTATGACGCGGGCAGAAAATTACAATGTTACAACTTTTCAATAACTACAATCCATGTTGTGGTTTTTTATCTGACAGCTAGACTTTCTCTTTTTCTCAACGGTAATCTTTTGACAATACTAGATGATAAATTGTTGAAATTTAAGCCACCGGGAAAACTCTGTATTCGCAGAAAACAATAATAACAGTCGGTTTTCATTGAGGTTGCGTTTTCCTGTAGCATGTGGGAATTTTATAAACAATTAAGTAACTCAGTGACTGTTCACAGAATTCACTAGTACGATTTTCCAGTCAATGCCATAAATCCCGTATTGTTTTCGAATACGATCGTCCTAAATATATCGATTAACACTTTAAATAGAACCAGAACACAGATATCGTTTTAATTGACCTCTTTAACTACCTATGTTTGTACGGATCGAATCAAAACATATTTTTTATAGGGAATAGGATTGACGCACAAAGTTTAGTCCGAAAAATTTATTAAGGCGTATGCCGTAACACTTTTAAGATCATGGCTGAGGAAAAGTAGGTCCTTCCAGACCAGGCCAGGGATTTTGCAACGTTTGATGAAACGACCTCCAAACAGGAAAATCCGAATTACCACAATATAGTCGGTTTATTTCTCGTGCTGATGTAAACATCTACTTTACGCCGAAGCTTTGTACGTAATCGATTGAATAATGTTATTTTGTTGACATAATTTGATGTTCTGTGGATTTATTAACGCTAAGTTTCTTGTTGTTGTTGTCGTCGTCGTTGGTGCGTAATTAGAAAATTAAACGGAGTGTTTTGGACATCGCCGAGATATAAAGTCAAAAAATAACTGCGAGAAATCGTTATCTTTGACCTTTCCTTATGAAGAGATTGTGTGAAGCAGACTTTCAACGGGAATCCTTCACTCGGCAACGAGGGCCAGACGGTAGATTTTTAACCGATAAAAAATTATCTGTTTTTAATACTATTATCTACCTATCTAGATAGGTAGATTTTTAACCGATAAAAAATTATCTGTTTTTAATACTATTATCTACCTATCTAGATTTTTATCGGTTAAAAATCTAGATAGGTAGATTTTTAACCGATAAAAAATTATCTGTTTTTAATACTATTATCTACCTATCTAGATTTTTAACCGATATAGTATTAAAAACAGATAACTTTTTATCGGTTAAAAATCTACCTATCTAGATTTTTAACCGATAACAATAGTGTGACGGTGAACGTATTTCTTGGGTTTTGGATTTCACTTTTAACGTGCAGACAACCCAACGTTGGTCTTCCAAGCTATCATGTAGTTCTACGACGTTAAAACCTTCTTGTGAAGTCGTTATTTCTGCTGAATTCAAAAATATAGATGAAAAACAACTAGCTCTTTTAATCGATATTCTGCCATTTTCATTTATTACTATTTGTGGTAAATTTTTTCATTTGTTACAGATTCGTTTGATTTTGTATATTAATTAGTCAGTTAAATGTTATAACAAAACAGTATTAAATACTTTGAGTGCCTACTGGTAAAATCCCAGAGATGAAAGTATAAAATTTTGATTACTTAAGTGAAAACCCAATTATTTTATATTTAATTGTGAACAGTTTTTGTATGACATGGGTTACTTTTATTTTTGGTTACTTGCGTCCTAAATAAAGTACAAAGAGAGGTAAACAGGAAAAACCAGCTTGTTTAGACGTCGCGTATGAAATGTAGTTATAGTTACGATACACTTCTACGTACTTATTTAAATAAGTTAATATTGGTTTTTGTATTCTTATTATGTTACGTGTTCAGCTTATTTAATAATTTTATATTTCCGTTTGCCAAATTTTATAATCTAAACACTTTTTTTTTTGTTAATTAACGTTTATATAACTAATAAGAAAACTTTGGAAATTGCTTGTAAGTTTATTAAATTCTAAATACTGTATTTTTTTGTTGAAATGTGTTAAACGAATCTACCTAGTACATTTTATTTGATAGTCGTCTCATTTAATTTTAAAACCAAATTTCAGTGTTGTTTCACGCACAGAAAACATAGGACATTGGCCCCAAATGGAGCATTTTATGTGTGCATAAAATTTCCAACCATTTGTGTCACTAATAACCTGAAATACATATGTCGATCTGTTTCGAAAATGGTCGTTCTGATATTGATTTGTAATGTATCAGGTTGTCTGTTCACTTGTCCACTTCATGTTTTTATGGTTGTTTCGTGTTTTCCAATCTCTTTCGGAAACCGTGTTTTCCTGTCGTATTTTCGTCAATCGTTGGTTTTCCGCGGTCGCAGGAATCCCTGCTTATCCATCAGCACTCAGCTGTTCCAAGCAAATGCAGTGACGCGTAGCTAGGTTCCTTGCTAGCGCACCGCCGCCCGCCGACGTCACTCCCTCCATATATAAGTCGACCGCGGCCATCGAAGCGCTTCAGACTCCAATCGAAAGTCGCTCTAAAGAGGTTGTTTAGCTTGCAATATAGCTAGGCCCTCCGAGTTTGATCACAAATCTAGTCATCTTCTTACTCATCCAGTCGTGTTGTGTTGTTATCATCAACAAACACCGTCGCTACCAAAGGATTTCACCCAGTGCTGTGATCAGTGACTCGATTTTGGCAAAAAACTTTGATTGGTGCTGATTCAGCGCTCGCGAGTGTGTTTTTCTGTCAGTCGTTCTAAACTCGCGGAGTTTAGGAGTCCACGGCCTCAAAATAGCTATCTTCAGTTTTTCAAAACGGAGCCCCAACAGTAAAATGGTGGGCAGCAACGGCACCATGATTGCAATCCGTCTTGTCCGCAGCAAACTGAGGAAACGAGAGGAGCACAGCAACAGCGTGCACCCTGCAGATGTGGTCCTCCACCAAACGACACCAGCGGCCGCCGCTTTGGCTAACCAGACGCCCACGGCGCCGCAGGCCCTTCAGCCGGACCCGCTGGCCTACCGCGGGCAATTCCTCTGGCAGTATCCCCCGCCTCCACCCCAACCGTACATGTACAACAATGACCAGGTACGGACGCCCCTTACTTCTTGCATTTCATACCTCTTAACACCTCTCGCTCGCGCATCCGGCAGCCTCGACACGCTAACGGAAAGCCGTTATGAAACGCCGACGTCGAAACGAGGTTAAAACGACTGAAAGTTTACATCTTTTATGCTAATTTCACCTTTACGGACCAGGCGCCGCACATCCAAGGAGACGGAATAATGCTCAATTCGGGAGACCTTTCATTGACTCGCTATGCTCATTTCAAATTGATATCGAGGTTTTGACGTAACTCATTTGAAAGTATCATTGACGAGAGAAAGCGGGCGCTTAAGGTCTAAACTCGAAACGTGCAGTTTCAAAAGACCCATTATATTCACACAAAAATAGACCCGACCGCATGGTGTAGGCGAACGAACCTGCTTCCATCTCTTTCCGAGCGAAAGAGACCCCGACAACCTGTAGTATTTTGTACACGCTCGACCGGAAAGGCAGATGAACGACACCCTAAAGCCACCATCACACGGCGCGACGAAACCCAGCCGGGCTGGTCATTGGTAGCTGCCAGGTCACAGTCCGGCGTGACTTTGCCGCTTTGTTCAGGTCACAGTTCGAGGCAACTTTTGCCGCCAATTTCCCGCTAACCGGGTGATCCACAAAAACTCGAATGCAAAACACTAAAAATCGGTTAAAATTTTGGTCCGTCTGTTGGCTCCTTAACCCCTCACAAGAACCGCGGCTTATCTTCAACCGTAAAAAAACCCGTTCGATAACCGACTACAATGCCGTTCGTTATCCCTTTTTTGATCGTCTCGAGCAGCGTGACCCTCCGGCCCGGCTCGCAAAAACCCTTCGCTGCTTGCTTGCACCGTTTCTGCAAGTTCGTTGACTCGTTTATCGATTTCTTGGCCCCCTCGGAACACGTGCTCGTACGGCTCCACAAAAATAAATTCAACCGCCGGCTCCCCTGTCTAGACTTGGCTAATGGCCTTGTTTTTTCTTTCAGGATACCCTTGTGCAAAACCTTCCCACGGAGCGGCCGGGATTCGTCCGAGGCTTCCGCAAGAATTTGGGCGGTCGCTGGCGACGTCTCGTTAAAAGGAAGCCACCGACAGAAGTGTACACCATTCCAGCCGAACTGAAGCCCCAGTTGAAGCAGATCTATGTTTATTGATAGAGTCACGACGGTACGACCTTGCCGGGCCGTTGGCGAAGCGAGATGGCCCTGGCAGCGGTCAGTACCAAGAGACACTTCCTTCCTGCAGCTTCTGGTTGGCGTCTGGAAGCTGATGTCGGCCTTCCTTAATGAGACTGATTAGTATTTAAAGTTTAGTAGTATCACTCGTATGGATCTTCACTCCAAAAATGACAATGGAGCTTAGGTTTAGCTCTTAGTCGCTGTAAATAAATATAAAGTTAGGTTAGTCCTTTTCGCAGACTAAATTCAGAGAACGAACTTTTGTGATTTTAAAGCTATAACTGCACGAGTTGGGTCTCCGATTTGTACGGAGGTTGGGTGTGCTGATATTTTTTATTTAGGTAATTTGTCAAAGCGCTTCTCTAGATAAATTTACATTAATTTGTAGTGGTTTTTAAACAGCCTAGTTTATAATGTGGCTCATATTGAGTTCGGCATTCTTGAATTTTGTGATTTTGTAGTATTTTTTGTCAGGGATGCATTCATGAATCTCCAGTTTTTGCTATCGGTCAATCAACTTGTTCTGTATGAATTATGTAGCTTATGAGATGGAGCTGGATGGTCTTCTCATACTAGTCAGAATGCTAAATAATTGTATCAGACGTTAAAAATGTTTAAATGATTCAGTAAATTATTTTCAGTATTATAATTAATTTATTATGATATTTATGATAGCACAAATCTTTTCAAATTGCAAGGATAGCAAATGAGAATTAGTTACCTACATATCAGGCCAATATTCATGTAAATAAAAGCAATAACATAAAAATACTATCAAATAAAATTGTTACTTTTTGAACTTTTGTGTTTTATTTAGTTTTCAAAAGTGATTTCGGATGTTTACAATCTGTTTACACACGGAGCATTTGAGATAAAAGAAAGAAGATTCGTTACTCAAATAAATTTATAACTTTGACGAAATCAAAAAACATTTTTTAAAGAAAAGAAAAAAACTCAATGGCAGTTGCTAAATGCATAGACATGTTTGTTATTACACACATTGCCCCAGTTAATGAAATGTGGTAGTTTACGACGACGGTTGCTACTGTTTCAGATATTTGTTTATTTAAAAGTAATATTGAATAGTTATGTGCTCCCCATTAGTTGCAAAATTTATAACCGAACTTTTCACTTTTTCGTCAAAGTTTATTTGCGTTGTTACTAAGATAAATATATAAATTGTTAAAAAGACGTAAAATTCATGCGCATATTTTACGACTGATAAAATTTTATGCAGAACGAAGTTTAGTTTAGAACCGTTAAATAGATTCAAATTTGCATATTTTTTAAATTTACAAATTTGTGTGCTGCCCTCTATCGTAGAATAGTAGTAACGCGACAAAAAGACGGTCTATTTTATTACAGAAGTTGTAAATAAGGATTTCACTGTAAATTTTGCTGTAAACATATAGTAGTTTTCATCTTGATGTCAAGCACGCAGTGGGCATATTATCAGATCTGTACGTAATTAAAGAAAAAGGCGTCTGCAAAACTACTAAAAAATAATCTAAGCGTGGAAAAGTTTGTAAAACAAATATTGAGAGATAGAACGCTTTTTAATAGACAGACCAACGAGGCGTCGGCTAAAATACAAATAAGTAATATCACTGTTACACAATGGTAATATTATTAACACTAATAAAAATATTTGCAATACAGAAAAAACAAACGTGATTCTTATAGCTTATTTAGTAACGTTTTTAATTGCAAATAATATCTGACAGAATATTTTGTTTATACTTAACTGATATAAGTCATGTTATACACATTCGCCAATTTAATTTATGTTGGTACATCACACATTATATCCATTATATCAATAGCGGCTCGTGGTCTTTTTGTTAGGGGAGGCAACTTTTTCGTTTCAAAATCAGCAGGTATTAATTAACATGTTCGCAATTACTTTTGTTAAAAGACAGATTATTTATCCCTTCTTATGAAAACAATACAAATAACTGTGAGTCAGTAACATATCTCTATAGGTATAGGTACATTTCTCGAATAAAAAACATTTAATTGCTTCACACAAACCAACGAGAAGGTGTAAAGACTACAAAAGTTGCTTTATTAACATTAAATATTAATTCATATGATCTAGGGCTGATTTAAATATATTAATCAATTAATTAATAAAGTTCTGCTCAAATCTGGGATGAGAGGTTGTTAAATCTTGGACATACAATTGTTCGTCGTAAGAAAACCGTGCTTAAATATTTAAACTTTATAAGAAATTCTACAATGTCGTTAGAGAATTAGAGATTGTTATGTTCCTATCAGCATTGCAAACCTGACATTTTCATTGTCCTAATGTTTTCAAGTTAGCTTAAAAGTTTTAATACATAACCTTGGCAATGCACACAGTGAACACCTTCTCTCGCGTCTAATTACTGCTCAACTAAATGCACACTAAATGCATTCAGCATCCCTGTTCAGCATTCTGCAGTTTCACTGTGAGATTAAAAAATTCGATCTGATTGGTTTAAGGACGGTAGGCGTTGGTGCCTCCGCTGGCGCTTTGGTAAAGCACTGCTGACTATTGTCGTTTTCAAAAACATATTAGCACCACTGACTAATCATGCTGAAGATATACGTCTATCTGAGGCATGCCTCCGTCTGAAGCTGGCCTACACGGTGATGATCGGCGCTTATTCCGTCGAAAGCGCGTACTTCAAAATATGTTATCAAGACGCGATTTAATAAATCACAGTTTCTATAAAAGTTATTTGCTATATCTTTAAAATATATTTGAAGTTGACAGATATTAAAACAAAAACTAATAGTCAATTTTTCCAGGGGAGGCACTGCCTACCCTGCCTCCCCTGACGAGCCGCCACTGCATTATATTATGTTTATACAATATACAACTTCATATTCCTATCTATTCATTTACAACTGCAGAGCTGTTCAGTACTTCAAGTAAAAGTACTTGAAGTAATACTTCAAGTACTTTTTTCTTGAAGTACTTTTATATTTAGGTACTTGGTACTTGGTACTTGGAGTTTTTCTAAAATGTACTTGACTTTAGTACTTGATTTTGCCAAGTACCTACTTTACTTCGAGTAGGTACTTCACTCTGTATTTTAAATACTCTTGAAGTACTTATAGTATGAAAGTGGAAACTTCAAATACTTTAGTCTCTATTTTAGGAAGTTTTCACATCTCAAAATGAAAATAGAGTCTGTTAAATACTTGAAGTTATTAATTCAATTATTTGATTAGATGTATTTTTATAGTAAAATCGTGTTTGTTTCTTGTGAGGTTATATTTTGATCTGTGATTGTGGATATCTTATTCACAATATGACTTACATTTCATAGGTACTTGCATAATGCCGATAGGAATTAATAATAGAAAATTAATGTCATAAATATGTCATTTGATGACGACAGTAGAAGGGTCAGAGATCTGTGTAAAATTTTCAGCGATGTAAAGTTGTGAATATATGAATTTTGTCTTTTTTGTATTTTGGTCTGGAACTTAACTTTGCGGGAAGTTTTTCAGTACCTTCCCGGTGCCCCAAAGGGGATCGGGTTTGTTGACGTACCTGCTAAAATGCAAGGTCGGATTTGAAAATATTTGAGAAATGATTCAGTACTCGTTCAAAAAGATATTTATTCTTTCATTAGTTTATTAACCCCGCCGTGTATTTGTCAGAATACAGAAGCCTGGTCAGCGCGGAGAATTCGGCAGGGGATTATCCCTTTTATTACAATAGCAATAGCTGATGCCAGGTACAGACTTTCATATTCGCCTCTTCCTCGTAGAATTTAAACACAATTTTATGTTAAATATTTTGCAGTTTAATTTTATTTATCATGTTAGACACTCGTTTATTATCAAATTCTCTTTTTTTGTTTATACATGGTTCAGCCCTATAAACTTAGTTTGCTATTACTACTTATATTTTCTCACATTACAGTTTCAAATAATCTGTTAAATTGTATGTATTATTTGAACATAAACAATTTAAAAAGGCGTAATGCAGAAAAACAATGATTTTAAAAGTCACACTAATTAGTGTCATTTATCTTTCCTGTGCGGATTTTATTTATTACCGTACAACAACTTTACGTATTACATTGCATCCCTTATTACATAAACCCAATATTGTTCAAAATGAAATATGTTTTGTGCAACTCGGCTCGTAGTACCAATGTTTTTTGTACTCCAGTTGATACGACCATGATTGTATGGTTTTGATGAGTACGGAATTGTGCTTTGATATTGCTGGTTACAGAAGTAATGAATTTACATTTGTATTTACAATATCAGGTAAAGATACCCAAAAGGGATAGTGGCCGCTTCTAGAAATGGAACAAAATACATATCACATTATAAAAAAATTGGTCTAAAGAGTTTAGACAGTACTTCCCTCGCTGTCGGAAACTTGACGACTGCATGCCTATTGTGTTTTTTTTCTCATTACATTTTTGTAGTGGGAATTTAAAAAAAAATTGCGATGACGTCATCAACATTTTTGCAAGGACACGTATATCAGTTGGGATAGATGTAGTGTAATACTAAGAATAAAATTATTATATTCTCAAATTTTCGGGAAAATGAATTGGGTCGTTTGAATATTGATTTGTAATAATCAATAAAATAACGAAACAATTTACTTACGTATACCTACGTATCAGAGGCAACTGAAAATCGTGTATGTATAAAATATGTTAATTTAAGATGACAGGCGTAACAGCATACGTGAGAGCCAAACACAGAAACTGTAAACAAAACGACCGTCGGTTTTATTGCTTCGACTTCCGCTTATTATATAAAACATTGGGTTTTATTTTAATTCTTGACGGTGAAATTCACAATTGGTTGATTATAAACATGTCTATTTCACATTCGCGGAATCAAGTGAACGCATAAAACAAATGCAGGTCTGTAATGTTAAAGTCGATGTAAATAAGCGTGCTACCCTTATGTTTCAACCGAGTTTTTCCTTTAACAAATTTTGTGTCTACCAAATTGGGTTGGTTGGGGTGTAATACTAATAATAAGTGTTGCCTTTAATTTAATCAATAAAATAAATTGACTTCATTAATTTTTTTGAACCACCTCTTAAGAAAATCTAAAAAATATGAATGGAATGATAAATCACAAGTACAAACTCATCATATTTTTTGCATTTTAGATAGGATTTATTCAGCAAAATTTAAGGGTGACGTCATCAATTTTTTTAGGAGGGATGAACAAATACATTTTGAACAAAAGTTTACCATGCTTATAATAACTTTAAAATATTCCCAAGATTTCAAAGCATTCGGTTTTGTAATTCCTGATTAAATCGATAAAATAAATTCACGCCTTCATTAATTTTTTTGAGTCACCCTGCATATGCAAATCCAAAAATATGAATGGAATGATAAATCACAAGTACAGACTCATCATATTTTGTACATTTTAGATACGATTTATTCGGAAAACTTTTGAGCTGACGTCATCAGTTTTTTGTAGAAGATAACCAAATATATTTTGACTAAAAATTTATTATGCTCTTTATAACCTTAAAACATCTGCAAGATTTCAAAGCATTCGGTTTTGTAGTTCCTGATTAAATCAATAAAATAAATTTACGCATTCATTAATTTTTTTGAGTCACTCTGTATATGCAAATCCAAAAAATATGAATGGAGTGATAAATGACAAGTACAGGCTCATCATATTTTGTACATTTTAGATATGATTTATTCGGCAAACTTTCGAGCTGACGTCATCAAGTTTTTGGAGGGGATAAGCAAATATATTTTGACTAAACATTTATTATGCTCTTTATGACCTTAAAACATCTGC